CTTTTCCAGAATAAGTTTACAATTTAAATATGAGTGCAACTCCATTTTAAAAATTGTTCAGCTACATCAAATTATCTTTCTCTTAAAGAACAGTTTGAAGGCCAAAACCATCTCCTCTCCAATTACAGTATTAGCTTTTAACCAGTAGATGTCCTCAGTGAGCTAAGAAATCTTTTTCAAAAGTCATTTTTTTTCCTTTTCCCTTTTTTTCTATTTTTTCAGGAAAAGGTGGAGGAAGAAATACTCAACAAAAGGCAAAACAGCATAGACTGATAGTAGAATTCTTAAGAAAAATTTATATATATGTATGTATGTATATATAATGTAGTCTTTAAAGCTTTGTTCTATTCTTTTGTTCGCCTTTCTTCCCAAACATGTAGAAGCTGCCTTTCCAAGCCAGGGAAATAATTCCAGCAGGGCTCTTACAGGCAAAAAAAAAAAAAAAAAGGCAAAAAGGCATAAAGAGAGGAACAAAAGAAAAAAGATCTCACCCGGATTCACCACGGTGGGTTTTCAAGCTTAGCTGTTCTTTGACTTGCGGTTTCTAGTGGCTAAGTGATCGGCCATTTTATTGGCCGATCTTCTTCTCCGTCAGCCCTCAGAGTTTGGCCTGGGCAGCTGGAGGAGCTGCTGTTCCTCCACAGCTGAGCGAAGCCTCTTCGACAGAAGTCACACCTTCCAGGGTGACTTTAGACCCGCATAAGGTAGAGGGAGGCTAGCCGACAAGGAGACAAGTCTCTTCGTGCGACTAGGAACGCTGCAACCCGGAACCGGAAGTGATTTGTTGAAAACTTATTACTGAATGTATGAAAAAAATAAAATAAAACTCTCATAAAAATATTTAGGAATACCTGTAGTTACACTTTCAATTGCCAGTCCTACCAGTAGCTGACATAGTAGGGTAATGTGAGTTCGCCTTTGGTCTTTTACTTGTTTAAAAAAGTTTTCATCTTCTCTAAGCAGACCCACATTACGATCTATCTTCCATCTATCCACTATTTGTCTATACTGAAACCATGAATATATAATATTTTCATGTGCTAAATCTTCCAAAGATTTTAACTGCCAATTTTTACCATCCCACCTGAGTAATTGCGCATAAGAAACACTATCCATCTTAACTCCTCTCCTTATCCCCTCTATTGCATGCCAAGGTATAGCCCAAAATGGAATTTTAAGATCACTTCTATAATATTTCCTCCAAACCCGAAGTAAAGAAATCCTTATAATATGAGATTTAAAAACCCGGTCAACTTTTTTATTAAAAATTAAATAGGCATGCCATCCAAAAAGTAAATCCCAACCCTTCAAGTGGAGTATTTCTACATTTGTTAAATTAACCCAGTCACTAATTAATGTTAAAACCACAGCATCATAATACAATTTCAGATTCGGTACCTTGAGTCCACCTCTCTCACGAATATCTTGCATAATTTTAAGCTTTACTCTTGGTTTTTTCCCTGCCCAGATAAATTTATTGATACCTTTCTGCCATTCATTTAAGTTAACCTCATTCTTTAAGATAGGTATCATTTGAAATAAAAAGAGAAACTTTGGCAGGACATTCATTTTAATCACGGCAATTCTTCCCAAAAGAGATAATTGAAACTTCTCCCAATTTTTCAAATCTCTTTGTACTCTGACCCACAACCTTTCATAATTGTTTTTATACAATTTTACATTAGAAACAGATAAAATAACCCCCAAGTATTTTACCTTATCAACAACTTCAAAATCTGTCAAGTTAACCAAAGTCTGCTTATCCAAATTAGTCATATTTTTGGGTAATATTTTAGTCTTATTATTATTAATTTTAAAACCCGAGACCCGTCCATATTGGTAAATCAATTGTAATAACTCTACTACAGAATAAGTAGGTTGGGACAGGGTAACCACCAAGTCATCTGCAAAAGCTCTTAATTTATATTCTTTTTTATTGACTTCTATTCCTTTTATTTGCTGCGATTCTCGAATTTTAATCAGCAATATTTCCAAAGTTAAAACAAACAGCAATGGTGACAATGGACATCCCTGTCTAGTCCCCTTTTCTATTGTGAAAACCTCTGACAAACCCCCATTAACTATAAGTTGTGCCGTTTGTTTTTGATAAATGGCACCAAGAGCTTGTGAAATTTTTTCTCCAAAATTCATATTCTCAATTAATCTTAACATAAACTGCCAGTTCAATTGGTCAAAAGCTTTTTCAGCATCTAAAAATATCAGTCCTGTGGAAACTTGGTTATTCTTATCTAAATATTCTAATAAGTTAATAATTTGTCTAACATTATTCTTCATATACCTACCAGTTATAAAACCCGTTTGGTCCTTATGTATAAGCTGATGCAAAACCCTCATAAGCCTATTAGCTAAAATTTTTGCAAAAATCTTATAATCTACATTTAAAAGAGATATAGGTCTATAATTCTTCGGTAAAGTAAGATCTTGATCTTCTTTTGGAATTAAAGATATAAAGGCTCTACCCCATGACGGGGGAATCTCTAAACCCTGTAATATATTGTTAAAAAGCTCACATAAAGGTTGAATCATCTCTTCTACCAAAGTTTTATAATAAATAGATGTCAGGCCATCCGTATGAAGCCTGCCCAGTCCATTTGTAACTTGAGGATTCATAGGAGGAGTAAATCTCGTACCTTGAAAGCGATTCACCCCCAGCTTTCGCCCATGCATTCACTAATTTAATGCGTGGGTGAATGAGTGGCTCCTTAAGTGAGCATGAGATATCTCAGGGTGGGAAAAGCCATGGGGAGGCCTAGTGCTTCCGACCACCCAAGGTCTCCCCTGACCCACTGAAAATACCTCATACTCCCGTCCACAATTGCTCCCCCCATCCTGCCACGCCGGATCACTTACCTTGTGAAGATCTGTCTCCTCTCCAGCCTCTTTGTTTCTTTCTTTGCTTCCAGCAAGAGCAGAGGGAGGCCTCTGAGGCCCAGAATGGACATCTGGAAGCACATGGCTACTGCCCATGGCCTCCGTTCTGGGCCTTTGGAGCCCTCTGAAGTGTCCCCCAGTGTCCTTTCCAGACCCAGAACGGAGACCGTGGGCAGTGGCCATGTGCTTCCGAAGGTCTGTTCTGGGTCTCAGAGGCCTCCTCCAAGGCCCAGGACGGAGGCCGGGAGAGGCTTTTGTGTGCTTCCGGAGGTCTGTTCTCCCACGGCTTCCATTACATTCTCTGTTGCAGAGAACAGAGGCCTAAACTACTGTGAAACCACTAGCATGAGATATCGTGCCATTGATTTCTTGGGATCTTGCATTTCTTTAGGCCTCCATTCTCTGCAAATGCACCAAAGGAAGCAGTGAAACAGCCAAAAAAGTGAAGGATATTTTGATCTTCGCAAGGTGAGTATCCATAGGCCTAGTGCCTAGGGAGACCCATGGGGAAGAAGGAGGGAATAGCTAGGGTGACTGTTGCAGTGGCACTGAGGTTGTTCTTAAGGGCGAATGACAGCCGTGGTGTGGCAATATTCGTAATTTTGGGACTTTTTCGTAAACACTAGGGAGCACTTATTGCATAACTTTGAACATTTGCTAAGGGAACGCTCGTAACTCGGGGATTACTTGTACACTAGAGAAAATCAGCAGTAATAAAGATATTCTACATCAGCGGTTCTCAGCCTGTGGGTCACAACCCCATTTGGGGTCGAACGATCATTTCACAGGGGTCGCTAAACAATGCAGTCCACCATTTTCCCCCCCTTTTCATTAGCTGTGCAACTCCCTTTTATTCTATTGGCTTTTGAAAGCCAATAGAATAGACTCTCTTGAATAGAGTCTAATTCTACTGGCTTTCAAAAGCCAATAGGAATTGTCCAGGTTGTCTCTGCCCTGCTGAGCCCGCCAAAAGTCCCATTCTGCAAATGGTGCTGCAAGTTGTCTGCAGCAAAGGCGAGCTGTCTGGAAGTTTCCACCCCTCCCTGCTGAGCAACTACTAAAAATTTAAGTAAAAGAGGGCCAGAGGTGGGAGGTGGGAGGCTGGTGGGCGCAGGGAGGGTTGCTGGCGTGCGTGGGGCCCGGCGGGTGCCTTACCTCCCTTGGGCTGGGCCAGCTGGTGGCCCAGCCGGTGGTCGCCCTGCGCCGTCGCTGCCCCTTGCCAGCTACGCCTTGGCCGGCGCAGGGGGTGGCACCATGCATGTGTGGCACTCCCAGGCAGGGAAAGTCCTCGACTTACAACCGGTTGGGTAGTCCTCAACTTACGACCGGTTGGGTAGTCCTCGACTTACGACCGGTTGGGAGTCGTGGCATTAAAAAGGTTGAGAACCACTGTCCTACACAGTATTTCTCTACATAGAATACTGAGTTCAGCAGTAATGTTTTATGTCAGTCAAAATGCCCTTTGCAAAGTAATGGTTTTTATAAAGCAATATGATACAATAAATTGTGGTTTTCCTTGCACTGATGGGCAGTGCATAGCATCCTACATTCTTAAATTCTAATTCCTTTTGCAATCAAGTAGTTCTGATTTCTCTCAAATTAATTTGTGCCTGCTATGTGATTGGGGAACCAAGGTAGGACAGATTATCGGATAAAGAGTCTGAGGTTTCATTTATTCTTGCTCTGTTCTGCACTTACTTAAGAACCCAGCAATTATTTCTTAAGGTGACCTAAATGTGCTTGTTTCATTTAAGGATAGAATAGCTGCATTCAATTATTATTTTTTGTGCCTCTCAGTGAGGTTTCAACTCCTGGCAACCTCCTGGACTGGTACCTGCAATTTTCTTGGTAAGGTTTTTCAGAAGTGATTTGCCACTGCCTGCTTCCTAGGGATGACAGAGAATGACTGGCCTAAAATCAGCTAGCTGAATTTATGCCTAAGGCAGAACTAGAAGTCATGGTTTTCTGGGTTTAAACATAATGCTTTAACCCTTACACTAAAGTGGCTCTCTAAATTATTGTTTGTTTTGCCTAAAAACTTCACCCTTTTCTCCCCGTTTAAATTTACACATATGAAAAAAATAAACATATTATAAACAGTCACATACCTCTTCAGGTCCCAGACTTTGCTTGTTTCATCCATAGAGGCAGATGCAACAAAATCACCACATGAATGCCAAGAACAATCCAATACTGCATAACTATGACCTTCTAGTGTTAGAATGCAGCCACCCTTTGTGAAGTCCCATACACGAACTGTTTTGTCTCCACTTGAAGTAACAAGTTTGGATCCACTGTCATGGAAAAACATAAATCTGAATTAGAACTTTAGGGAAGTTCTTGCACAGCTGTTCAACTAAATTTTCCAAGTCAATATGATGAAAATCTCCATTTTTCACACTACTAGTATTGTTATTACTATTATTTATATATTTTTTTCAAATGCTCAAAGAAATGTAATACTTTATATTTTTACTTTATAAGAATATACAGTATACTGTTGCTTGAAGCTGTGGGAAAGGTTGGCTAATCTTGTTTAAGTACTAATCTTGTTTAAGTTTAATGACAAAGCAGAGTAAGGTACAACTCAAACATGATGGAAGAGGAATTCAGCTTATGTGTGATCCCAGTAATATACAGAGGACTGGTTCCATTTTTTTAAAGCTAGGCTTTCAAGAAGGAAACTATTTTTTCTACTTAAAATGTGTTATAGTTTAAACCAAGCACATACAGACACACACATATAACTTTTAAGGTTTTAAAATTATTTCCATTACAGTATTAAACATCAGCATTTCCCTGAAAACTATTTTGGAACAACAAATTGGAAAAATAAAGAAAAAAAATCAAATCAAATTGAATACACCTACATATCCATCTGCATGTTTTATTATTGTTAAATAATATAATTCATATAGGAGTTTAATAGAAGTCTGATTAAAAAAAGAAGTTGAATCAAATCTCTGATTAAAAAAGAATGCATTTATTCTCAAAATGTATATGCCACCAACTGTTCTGATTCCAGGTAGTTTACAATATAGACAAATGCCAATAAAAATAATAAAATCCATTCATAGCACAAATAAATAATAAGTAAAAGTATTAAAAACTACAAATAATTCCATTGCTGAGTTAAATGTTATTAAATACTTTAATGACATAAATAAATAAACAAACAAACTAACAAATAAATAAATAAAACACTCTCTGAAAGAGGAGTGTTTTTATCATCATCTGAAACATTACCAAATAGGGCAGAGGTGTCAAACTGCTGTCCCACGGGCCAGATACATCATGCCAAAACCACACCCACCCCAGCTCCAGCAATGTGGAAAAAGTCATGATATGTCACGACACTTCACGTGATGCTGCAAGTTTGACACTCCTGAAATAGGGCATACCTAAATGTTGGTTGTGGGGGAGGAAAAAATGTTCAGATATTTAGGTCCCAGTCACCCTGATTTCTTGAATTGCCAGAATTTCCTCTTCCTATTAGATCATGTAAGTTAGGCGTGGAGAAAATAGTTCTGACCTTTAAATGGTCCTCAGGGCTTATTGACAATCAGTGCACTTTCCGCATAACAGGTGCTATTTTGATAAACCAGTTAATACTAGTCACCATGTTCTGTTTCAAATGAGATAAAAGATCTCACTTATTCCTAGATACAGAGTAGTTTGAAGTAGTTGTATATCTAGAAAAAAGTGAGATCTTGTTATCATAGATAACTTTTTTTCCTTTATTTCCTTTATTAAATGATTATTCTTAAACTATTACTCTCAAGGCATTGTAAGAATTATGTATGTGTGTGCTTTGAAAATGACAGAAATGGACAAATATCATAAATAGATATGTAGTATTAAGGATAGATACATATGAAACACAATGTGATACAATGGTTAAAGTATTAGACAGGGAGTAGAGCAGTGATGGCGAACCTTTTAGAGACCGAGTGCCCAAACCGCAACCCAAAACCTACTTATTTAGCTCAAAGTGCCAGGGCCACATCAGCATTGTGGTGCCCTCGGGGGGGGGCAGAGAGGCACCTCTGAGTGCCGCCTCTGGCATGCAAAAACCAGACATGCAAAAATGGGCCACCGTGCTGTAAGGCACAAAAACAGCTGCCGCCACACTGCAGGGTGCAGATACAAGGCACTGCACCACACAAGAACGGGGCAGGGCTAGTGAGTATCATGCAGGCACTAGCCCCACCCAATTTGTAGCACGTGCATGCTCACTGCCCCGTGCACACATGCACGCATGTAAAATGCTTTCCCCTCCCTTTTCTTCCAGTCCACCAGTCAACAATGGTTGGTGACCTCTGCTCTACCACCTCTACTCAAGCTTGCTAGTCAGCTGCTTTGCCTCCTTTGTGCTAGGCGGGACTCTTGCTCAGGGTGGTGGTGGCACACGTGCCAAGAGAGAGGGCTCTGAGTGCCACCTCTGGCACGCGTGCCATAGGTTCATCACTACTGGAGTAGAGAGATCAAACCCACTAATGGGAGAGGATGGCAAGTGGCGGGTAGCAGAAAGAAAGCTTAATTCGTTCTTTGCATCTCTCTTCATGAAAAAGCAAAAAATAACCCAATCTACCAAAAGCAGAACTGTAAAAGACAGAGTAGGAATACAAGTCAAAATAGGCAAAAAATGGTAGGACAATACCTGTCTACCCTAGACAAGTTCAAATCACCAGGACCAGATGGAATAAATCCCAGATTTCTGAATGAGCTGGCAGACATGATCTTGGAACCATTGAACCATATTTTAGGAGTCCTAGTGGACAACCACTTAAGTATGCCGCAGGTACCAAAAAAAGTAAAAAAAAAGTCCTAGGTTGCATCAAGAGAGAAATAGTATCAAGATCATGTGAAGAACTAATACTGCTATATACTACTTTTGTGATACATACTTGAAACTGTGTCCAGTTCTGGTTGTTGTTTTAACCATTCATAGAACATACAATAATAGAGTTGGAAGGGACTTTGGAAATCTTCTAGTCCAACCCCCTGCTCGAGCAGGAGACCCTATATCGTTTCAGACAAATAGTTATCCAGTCTTTTTTGAAAGCCTTCAGTGGTGGAGCACTCACAATTTCTGAAGACAAGTTATTCCATTGGTTAATTGTTCTCACCATAAAGAAATTTCTCCTTAGTTCTAGGTTGCTTCTCTCCATAATTAGTTTCCAACCATTGTTTCTTGTTTTGCCTTTTGGTGCTCTGTAAAATAGTTTGACCCCCTCATCCTTGTAGGAGCCCCTCAAATATTGGAACAGTACTATCATGTCCCCATAGTCCTTCTTTTCATTAGAGGACTGGATGCTAAAACATATGAAAAATGTTACAAGAATTGGGAATGTCTAATATAATGAAAAGAAGGACTACCATGGGGTAATTTTGTATATAACCCCAACTACACCCACCTACTTGCTGATGATCAAGGCAGATATGTAATTGTGTAAATTGAATTACAGGAATAAAATCTATTGTGGTAAGATTATACATCCCACATTAAAAAAGCCAAGTTTTTAAACATCTGTCTGAATACGTACTCTCCTATCTTTTTCAGTATTGATGTGCAATTAGAGACTACAATGGGGTTAGTAACCTCACAACTGGATAGATCAGCTGATAAAGGAATTAAAGAAATACAAGAGCAACTGCCCCAAACTTTTCTTGAGCTGACCGATACTTTAGGTTTGGAGATGTAAAAATGGACTAACAAAAGACTTTATCTTCTTTTCAGAGAGACACAAATCCTTTCCTAGAATTGATATGATTTGGATTACAAATAATCTGCTTCACAAAGCAACTAACGCTATTATTCTTCCAAAAACATTTTCTGACCATAGGATTATATACATGTCAAGACCAGTGTGGTTTCTTACCTATGGTAAAAGACAACTAAAAGATAATGTAAGAGTGATTTTGAATATAATTGAATATTTACACCAAAGAAGGAAACAAGACAGGGGTGTCCTTTATCCCTTTTATTATTTATTCTAGTATTGTAATATTAAGTAGAGATATTAGGATAACAGAGCAAAAGGACTACAAATTAAAGCACATAATTACAAATTACGTGCATTCGCCAATAATTTGACATTGACTGTGCAAGACCCACTAGAGAACATTGAACATGTTATAAGGAAAATTAAAATGTTTGGAGAATGGCAGGTTTAAGAATAAATAAATCAAAGACAAACAATACTGACTAAGAACATAAATGTGGAACATCAGAAGAAATTGGAATTTAAAACTGGTTTTAAAGTTGTGAAAAAGATACTTGGGGGTGACTCTCACTGAGAAAAATTCTAAGCTTTACAAAAATAATTATGTTAAATATGGAAGGAGATAAAATTGGATTTAATAGATGGCAAAAATTAGATTTGTCGTTAACAGGAAGAATTTCAGTAATTAAAATGAATGTACTACCTAGAATGTTATTTTTATTTCAGGCTATACTTATATTGATTAGAGATTCCACTTTCAAACAGTGGCAGAAAGCTATATCTAAATTTATTTGGCAAAATAAAAAATCAAGAATTAAATATAAGTTGCCACAAGATTCTAAAGATAGAAGAGTTCTGGGTTTGCCGGATCTTAGATTATATTATGATGCATGTTATCTGGTATAGTTAAAAGATTGGATAACTTTAAAAAATTCAAGGCTACTAGACCTCGAAGATTTTGATTTGAGATTTGGGTGGCATGTCTATCTGTGGTATGACAAAGTAAAAGTTAACCCCGGTTTTAAGATGCAATTGATTGATGTGTATGGTGGAATTATAAAAGAAGATTAGCTGCTAAAGTGCAATCTATCACCTCAGGAAACATTACATAGAACAGAGATGATTTTGGAATGTAAATGGATGACATTTTGAGACTTATTGATATTTGAAAAAGGGGGATTTAAGATAAAGACAAGAGAACAACTAGTAAGTGAAGGATTTGCTCGTGATTGATGTAATTATTATATAATTTTTGTAAGATTTAAATTTGATCAAAAAAGTTTTATTTTCACAAACAGCCATTTGTCTGAAATGGTATAGGGTTTCCTGCCTGAGCAAGGGATTGGACTTGATGACTTCCAAGGTCCCTTCCAACTTTATTATTATTATTATTATTATTATTATTATTATTATTATTATTATTATATTAAACAGGTATCACTTCACTTCTAAAGTATATAGAATGCTACGTAAAAAGAACCTAGAAGATGAATATGTTAAAGACTGTATGGCAAAATGGGCAAAAAAAATTTGAGTATAATACAGGTAGTCCCCAAGGTATGAGCCGA